TACTCGATATTCAAGCTTAAGATCCTTTTGAATGGAACAACTTTGCTCACTTCGGCAATGTATTCTCACTATGAGTGAGCTCAGTGACAATTTATGTGCATTTCGATCGGATGAAAACGTTTCCAAATAGCGAAGTAAAAAGACTTGCAGTCTTTGGAACATGCAGTTGAATTAACAGATGGAATATTGAAGCCGAAAAAATCTTATGAGAGAAAGGACTCAAAATTTCATTGACCTTTGTTGCTCTTGGTTTTTTTTTAGAAAATGCGATTGTCTCTGTTAGTCTACATAAAAATGCATCCAGATGAGCGTGATATAAACCAATGAAGAGCAGAATAATCAGTTGAATATTCAATGAAATGTTACGTAAAAGTTCATCGAGCTGTCGTTGATCATGTCATTCGTCCGAATTGCGTCATTTCCTTAGCTGAACATCAATGATAGAGGGCAAACAGCAAATATAACTGCACATAAATTAGATGGGAATGATTAAGGCTTGCTTCAAGATGGGCATACTATCAAAATTCCCACAAATTGACCTGTTTTATCCAATCCCGAAATCCCGGGATTTTTCATAACTTAAATCCCGTGATCGGGATCAGAACTGTAATCCCGGGATCTCGTGCAAGCCCTAGTTGTGATATGATCTATTTGATCAAATATCAATGGGTGACATGAATTGTGATATTCGTTGTAATTGATCTGTATGTTTGATCGGTATATAAGCAGCAACTGTATATAAGCAGAGCGTTTTGTAGCAGAATTCATTCCGCATAATTTTCATTGTATCGTCTTTTAGTTGGTTTTAATAAACGTCTAATACAACTGTGGACTCTACAACAGAATGGACATTAAAAATTCCGTAGAATAGAAAAAAATCAAAAAGTGGTACTTTCATAAAACCAAAATAATTTAGCCGTCCAAAACAATGAGATTTAATAACTGATTTATTTCCAAAGCACGAGCCAGTATCCGTTCCATTAAGCGATAATTAGCCAATCAGCCATCAACCGATAATTAAATCAGTTTCAACATTCTCCTCAGTAACGCCAATTTAGTTGTATCACCAAGCTTTTTATATTTATCGCTTTGTGACAACGCCTTTATTTCTTGAGCACTTTTGAATTTACGAATACATGCATCCTAAAAAAGATCAAATAACGATTACCTTCAAAAGATTTGTCTTTCGAAATCTGTTCGTAATTCGATAATTTCTTAACATTACAACTTTCAAATGATGCTGACAGTCAAATTCTTCGTGTGATATAATTCATTTTTCGATCGTTTTTGAATTCTTTTTTAAAGGAAAACAGAACCGAATCAAAATTCAATTGCTAAATTTAAATCTACCTGAAGATTCGTCAAACGATATTGATCAGCCCAAATCAGTTTTGTCAACGTTTCGACATCATCGGATCGCATCAGAAAGCATTCACACTCATCCATAATGTAATCAACATGGAATTTATTCCCTAATTCCAATAACTGCTCAATATTTGCATCTGAAAAACATCCTGTTAAAAGGGTATCGATAAACAAACGCCATAAAATATTCTCTCCAAAAGCGATGTGTATCCAATGCAGTGAATAATTCCCACGAAATTTACTGAATCGATGGAAAGAACAATCGTCCATAATGACAATGGCGATCTTTGTCATTAACACTGATGATAATAATTACAAATAATAACGATACGAACTGGATACAGGTTTGTGGGTTGGATAAATGACATTCAACAGTTCAACAAACTCTTCTAGAATAACATCTTCAATCACGATTTCTTCTTTGTCTCGTTCAGCAAAATCCGAGAAGAACATCGCACGGAACACCGGCGAAAAGAGTGCCAAATACTGAAATTTTTCACTATTAGTGAGGTTTATAGTCCCTGAATCCATACATTGTGGCTACAGACTAATTTTAAAACGATTATGAATGATGTAATGAGTCTGAGCATTACTGAAAATTCTTAGTGAAAATTAACGGATAATAACCTCTTTGTTTATATGAAGATGAGCGTCACCAATGACTAACACTCCATCTGATATATGTGGTTGTGGGACGGTGAAATCGAAGGATGGTTTTACTCTGAAGCGAAAATTTACTGCCAATCAAATAATTCTAATAACTGAACAGAGTGAATTAGTGTGTTTATTAAGAATGGCTAACAAAAAAAACTAATGATGTTCTGCAATTGTCGTGAATTTCACAACAAAGATAATTTCTTTCCGGTTCTCGAAATAC